TTTTAAGCACAGAGGGCTGAACAATGGAGCAACTGGTGCCTTGGTGGGGCTGTAGCCTGGCCTCTCGTGGGTCTCTTGTAAAGCCTTGAAGCCAGGCTCCGAGGTGAAGGAAAGGGAGGGCAGATTAGACAGCTGGAGGGCACAGAGCCAGCTGCTTCCATGGGGCCTGAGCATCATGGCAACACGGTTGCAAGCCCCCACGTGCACATGGTCCACCCAGTGCGCCCTAGCTAGGCAGGGCCTCTGCCCCAAGCACCCTCCCAGGTGGCAGTTTAGGATGGTGACCACAAACACGAACGAGGGCAAAGGTAGCAGGGTGTGCCGACAGACGGCTGATTGGCGAGGTGGGAGAGGTGGCACGGAGGGCAGGGATTCTGACTGGGACCCTGGGGAGAACGGCGAGCTCCCGGGGAGCCAGCCAAGGCCTCGCAGGTGCAGAGCGGAGGCACAGCCCCTCCCAGCGCTGCTCTGCCATCAACTTGTGCGGCCTGGGCACATGTGTCCTCTCTCGGCCTCATTCCTCATCTGGAAGGTGTGTGTCCGCTCCTGGGCCCAAAGGTAGCCAGGGCAGTGAATTGCTTAGGCTAGGAGCTCAGCACAAGGTGAGTGGCCATGATTCTCATACTGCAACGCACAGGCATGCACATGGAGCCCATCTGTGCTCTGGCCCGTGATGCTGCCCCAGGCCAGTTCCCAGGGTGAGCTCCAGGAACTTGGCTCCAAGTAAAAATATTAGTATTTGGGAAACAACAGACTTCACCTAACTGCTTTACAAGACACATTTGCATATTAAAGGGTCCAAAAAAGCCCTTTAAGAGCTGCTAAATGTCCCACCCACTGTCCCCAAACTTACCCAACATGGAGCCCTTTCTGTTTGGTAGAGTACTCACCTCCCCTAGGGAACATTTTGAAAATGGTTGTTTGTGCGCTGACACTCTCAATCCAATTGCTTTTTCTTACTAAACAAGGGATGAGGGATGAGGGATGAGGAAGACAGGCCAATGAGGGGTGTGTGAAGGCAGAGGGGGATGGCCCCCCACAGCGCTGGACGGCCATGGCAGAGGGAGTTGCCCCTCCACAGTGCTGGACGGCAGGGGGCAAAGGAGAATAGCTCCCCGCAGTGCTGGCCCTTAAGGGCAGAGGGGGATGGCCCTGCAGCGCTGGACCACCACGGCAGAGGGAGATGCTCCCCCCTAGCCCCGGCCCATGGGGGCACAGGGCCAGGCTGCACCACCCCTATCCCTGCCCCCAGGAGCTCCGTGAGCCTCAGGGAGGAAACATCTCTGGCAGGAACCTGGGCTGGTTCTGTTGGCTGAAAGGCAGACGATGAAGTCAGCCAGGTCTCCTGTTAGAATTACCAAGAGGGGGACAAGTCGTCGTAATGGCTATGTCGCTGGACTCCCATGTAGTCAACCGTGGTTCAAGTCCCAGACCCAGCGGGTTAAACTTACGCCAGGCATGTATGCGTGCGTACCCAAGATCCTGAGAGAATGGAGAAGGGACTGCAGCATGGACGTCCCCCCTGTGGGTGACTTCTCGCTTTCTGTCTCTGGCAAAAACCTCACCAAAAAAAAAAAAAGGAATTACCAAGAGGGGCCAGCAGGTGGCATGGTCCTAAAGGGCGCTGGACTACATCGTTGCCGACCACAGTTTGAGTCCCAGACCTGGTGGTTTGCCTTCTCATTCTCTCTCTCCTCCACCTCTGGTCAAATAAAAATAAAATAAAAAATAAAGCTAAATAAAATAATTCTTTAAAAACAAACAAAAAACAAAGGAATTACCAAGAGGAGTCAATGAATGGGCGGGGGGCGGGGAGCAGCTGGGGATCCTCCTCTTCCACACGGATCTGTAACTACTGAACGTGAGGGGCTGTGCAGCAGCGGGATGAGGACAGGGCGGCTGCCCTGTTTGCGGGCTTGGTGCTGTGGCTGCACGGTGGGGCCTTGGCCACAGTGCCTTCCCATTTTTTTCTTCCTTAGTTGCCTAACTCCCATCTCTTCTCAGCAATTCCAGAAAGACCCTGTACCCTGGATTAACTGCATGTATGTCCGTGGGAGCTAGCTTTACCTCTCTGGTGCTAGGCAGTGGAGGGTATGGTTCCAAACGTGTCCGTGAGCCACCTGCTTGTTAACAGCAGTCCAGGGCCCGATTCATCTCTGCAGGACCGAGTCTCGAGTCCGAGTCCCGGACTGGGAGGTCCTGTATTAGTGCTGCCTTGCAGAGAGGGGGCCTCACCCAGACAACAGGGTCCTGGGTTTGATGAGGGCCCACAGCCAAAGTGAAGACGCCCCCACTCCGAGGCTGAGGTGGGAACTCACTGGGTGTCAGCAGAAGCCCGTGACGGGGGAATGGCAGCCAGCAGTACCCAGAACCAACTCTGCCAGGCACTGGGCTTGTTCCCAGCTCACACAGGGCACCCCATACCCGAGAGCCACTGACTTCTGCTTCGCCATAGGAGGGAGGGAGGAACCCCACAAGTCACCCAGAAGCTAAGTACCCTGTTCTAGTCATAGAAACCGCAGGGCCGGAGTGAGGTCGGCCTGCAGTCCACACCCTTTGCTAGTGCTGGAGCCCTGATCTGGAAACCCCTCTGGAGGCTGCCAGGGCAGAGAGCAGAGCCACGGGAAGCACCAGGCACTGAGGTAGGGGTGGATAGCGCCATGGCACTACTGGCTCAGCCATGTTGTCACGCAGGGGCTGGTGTTCCTGCCAGATGAGGCGCAGGTTTATGGGCGTCCCTGTGTGGCTGGGGTTCCACATGCCCAGAGAACCCCGAGGCTCAGCCATTATTAGCGTCTTGCCATCTGAGGTACCAACAGATGCTCATGTCTGGAAAAGCCAAGCAAAGCATGACCTGGCTCCCCTGATCTGCCGTCCCTTTTCCTTCCAGCTGTCCCCAAGTTCCATGAAGCAAATACTGACCCAAACAACCCAGCCTGCCATGGCCCACACTGTTCCAGGGTGCTGTGGTGGGCAGCCTCCTGGCCTATGCAGCCGCCGTGGCCCCTCCCCCGGGACACGGTCATCCAGGTTCTGCAGCTTGGCCCGTTCAGAAGCCTGCCACTTCTATGGAGCAGGCAGGAGCCGATGGCCTTCCCAGCCTGACGGCCTGGCAGCTCGGGCCTCAGGAGATACAGGCTGCCCAGGCTGAGGTGGTCCCGCCACTTACCACTGTAACTGACCCCAGAGAAGGAAGTCGGAGGGCTCACGTGCCAGCAGCACATGCCTCGGGGGCTGACCGTGAGCGTGGGGCCTTATCTGGCCGAGCGCAGCTGACAGGCCGAGCGCAGCTGACAGGGCCCCATGGACCGTCACACGGCACCTCGATGGCGGATTACTGTGGAGAGCCGGAGGTCAAGGGCTTAGGCCACACCGCTTCTATTTATAAGGAGACTTGGGGGTAGGGAACAGAGGACAGAAGACCGGCTGGGCCACGGTGACGGGCTGGCAGAGTGACGGCCTAGGCGAGCTGTCACCCATGCTGTTCCTCTGAAACCAGGCCCCTGGCCTAAGCTTTTCCAGGCCATGTTTGAGTCTGTCTGTCTTAAGACGGCCCCTGCTTCATGGCTGAGGAGGCCACATGGGAGCACAGGACAGAGGAAGTGAGAGGCTCAATTCTGCAAGGACCGGGAAAGGCACATGTGACATGCCTGAAGCCCCCAGCTCTTCTCATGAGGCAGAACCCCTAATTACTAGGAAGCATGGGCAGTCCTTCCTTTTCATGAACCAGAGAGAAGGGTGACGGTCACCTTCAGACACACACAGCCCGACGTCCAGCTCTTGGCGTGGCTGGGGGCCAGCCCACGGAGGGGTCCCACCAA